CTGTCTTTTGTTCCAACTTATCTTAGCGCTAAAGGAAAATACATGGTGGCTGTGGAGATCTTCTCTATTTTGTGCTCTGGTGCTGGATTACTGAGTTCTATTTTCTTCCCCAAATGCTACATCATTATTTTGAGACCTGAGCTAAACAATAGGGAGCATTTAATAAGGAGGGGGAAATAAAGAATGGTTATAGTGATCTGTCTATTACTATTCAACTTAGCTGTTCGAAAGCATGTCAAAGTGCAAGTAGATAAATAGGTACCGCTCTGGCGGTAAGGTAAACAACGTTTCCGTGAGCTGCTCTGGTTTGCCAGAGGCAGCTTAGTCATACTGGCCACATGATCCAGAAGCTTTCTGCGGACAAACACCGGCTCCCTCGGCCAGTAAAGCGAGATGAGTGACGCAACCCCAGAGTCGTCTGTGACTGGACCTAACAGTTAGGGGTCCCTTTACCTTTACCTTTAAAATTGAACAAGTGTCACATTATTTATGAAATTGTGTTTTCACTTATAACTATGTATCTATGTAAAAAGGTAAAGGTACCCCTGCCCGTACGGGCCAGTCTTGACAGACTCTAGGGTTGTGCGCCCATCTCACTCAAGAGGCCGGGGGCCAGCGCTGTCCGGAGACACTTCCGGGTCACGTGGCCAGCGTGACATCGCTGCTCTGGCGAGCCAGAGCCGCACACGGAAACGCTGTTTACCTTCCCGCTAGTAAGCGGTCCCTATTTATCTACTTGCACCCGGGAGTGCTTTCGAACTGCTAGGTTGGCAGGCGCTGGGACCGAGCAACGGGAGCGCACCCCGCCGCGGGGATTCGAACCGCCGACCTTTCGATCGGCAAGTCCTAGGCGCTGAGGCTTTTACCCACAGCGCCACCCGCGTCCCTTTTATGTATCTATGTATGTGTGTGCATATTTGTATAATGTTACAGGTTGGGGGGGTGTCAGTCTGCATGATACTATGAGTCTCTTCAATTACTTGGTGTCCTGTACCCAGTTAAGTATAAAGGTTGATGGAGGAATATATTGTTCACTAGGCAAGTATAAAATAATGAGCTTGCCACTTAAGTACTTTCATTAGTGTAACTAAAAAAGTTACTGTGTGCCAATACATGGACCTTTCCCCCTCACCTGGCTGGTAGTTAAAAGGACAAAAGTCAGGATAAGTTGTGTGAGAGTTGAGCTGAAAGAGGCTATAGGCTCAGGTTGTATACACTCTACAAGGTCCAGATCAAGAATTCCACTTGCAGCAAGACACACCCTAGCTGCACCACTGCAGTCTTAAGAGATGTGAGTGCACAATGGTAGCTTGTGATCAACAACAATAAAAGACACAAATTGAAAGTTATGACTAAAAATAACTATACAGTGGTACCTCGGGTTACATACGCTTCAGGTTACATTCGCTTCAGGTTACACATTCCACTAACCCAGAAATAGTGCTTCAGATTAAGAACTTTGCTTCAGGATAAGAACAGAAATCGGGCTCCGGCAGCACGGCAGCAGCAGGAGGCCCCATTAGCTAAAGTGGTGATTCAGGTTAAGAACAGTTTCAGATTAATAACGGATCTCCGGAATGAATTAAGTACTTAACCTGAGGTACCACTGTATATTTTTTCTCGATCAAAAATATAATAATAATAATAATAATAATAATAATAATAATAATAATACTTAATTATACCCCACCCATCTGGTTTCCCCAGCCACTCTGGGAGGTTCCCAACAGAAATATAAGCAGAATAAAACATTTGAAAGCAAATGAAGTGCTGTCACCATGGTTGCCTTTTTTGTCTCCATAAACAGCTAATTGACCCATAGCATGGCATAGTTTAAAACAGGGTGACAACTTGAATAGAATATTGTGGGGGGTGCAGGTAAGCACCCCCTGCATAATTAATCACAGGGTAATCCTATGCATGTTTACACAGAAAATTTCACTGGGTTTACTGAAGCTTGCATGCTAGCCTCATGGATTCAGTGTATAGTATATTAATTTGAGATACACATTCCTATTGAATATCATGATTATGCTTTTAAATTGTGCAAAATGCATTCAAGATGAGCATGTTCCCCAAGGCCTGCAGGGGAATGCATATATAAACATGGAAGCATACACAGTTCTGTCTTCATGGATGGATTGTGCACACAATTTCCACGAGACCTGGTGAATGTGCACAGTTGCTGTTATGCACATTAGCTGCTCAATACGTGCACACACACACACAGTCTTCCATCTGATGAGAATGCTACAGTTCCACAGATCTCACAAAGTCATATTAAGTCCACAATTAAAAATGGTGTCTAGACAACAAAGCAATGCTATGACAGGGCAGAAGATAAATTCTGTGGCAGAGAAACTTGCTTCATGCCCTTGCTGATAATGTCTTGGGGAAAATGTGAGAGCTTATAATAGTGGGAATGCATGATCCCCCTAGAATTCCCCATTTTGCACTTCACCAACAACGGAACAATGCCGATGCTATATCTATGCCACTGTGCATGTACTGGAGGCCCCAATCCCACAGGTGGACTTCTCTCTGTGCGGGTAGAAAGACTTTTCTTTAACTTTTGCTGGATATAGGACTACAGTGGCAATCAAGTTACAGTGAAAGTACCATTCTTTCCCACTTCTGCTAAATGTGATGTCTTGCAAAACACAGTGCTCTGAGAAGATGATTTTGAACCTGGTAATTATATCAAATTATTGTTTTCATCAAATATCTAGTCAAATCCCATGTGGATTATCTCAGAATACAAACACAATCAATAACATAGTCTGAAAATTTACACAAAATAAATACAAGCCACTCTGTCCACTCATGAGGAGCTCTGAACATGCAGGATTTCATAAGTCAATTTTTTGGCACTTGCCTTTTTATGAAAATAATCCTGAGCCGTTGAAGGAAAATTCTTAGAGACCAACTGATGTTGGATGATAGAGAGAAAGTAGATATTCAGCATCACAATTGGCCCCTAGATGGCAGATACATTTTTGCTGCTTATCCTGTTCTTCTTGTGGCTACAACTTTCTCCAACTGATTGCAAGAAACATTCTGTTGTATGCACCATAAATGATCCGTTCCAGTTTCCATACCAGTATTATCAGAGAGGAGAACTAATCATTGGAGTGATTGCTTCTCAATTTGGTTGTGTAAATGATGAAATATATTTCTGGGACCACCCTAAAACAAAGTTTGTAGATGAATTTATGTAAGGAAGTCACTGTTGCCCTCGATGGCATACTTTTCCACTGCAAGAATTTACTTCAGGAAGCAGTCTGCATATGATATTTTTGAGGTTGCATTTAAGCATGTTCAAAGTAATATATTTGCTTCCTTCAGCTTTATGATCTTCATATCTTCTTCTCTGTTATTTTTCTCCTCCCCTTGTGAATTCTTTCTTCTGTTTCCAAAACATGTTAGTGTATTTTGTAATTTCCTTCCTATTTTATCTTCAGCCTTCCTTATGAGTGCCCTTTCATCCTACATATGTATGTTTTCACATTGCATCAAAGTTTCCCTCTTAGCCTCCATTGTTTATTCTATCAGTCAAAATGAGTTACATGGGCCTAGATTTGGCTAAATTGGGGTAATGGATTTTATTTGAAAGCAGGGCAGAGGCAGAAGTTATATGTTTTATTTCCATACTTCTTTCTTTGCTTTAATATTGCTGGGTTTATTGGAAGAAAGGTGGGGAGAAAAATAATCAAGACACAAAGTTACCTGTGTACTCAAAAGCTGGAAAGGAAGAACTGACTCTTTCATCTTGAAATGTTTAATATCATTCAGATGTTTTACTCTTCCTTAGTGCAATACCAAAGAACTACCAGCATGTTCTCTCCTTGGTATTTTCTGTGAAGCAGATAAATGAGAACCCCAAGATCCTACCAAATGTCAGTCTGGGATTCCACATCTATGAAAGCTACACAGATGCAAGGATGACTTTTCAGAACACCATGAAACTTTTGACAGCGGCAGAAAGAATTGTCCCAAACTTCAAATGTAACAAAAATGAGAATATGATAACTGTTATTGCAGGACTAGACTCTGAAATCTCCCTTCACATGGCTAGTATCTTAGGCCTTTACAAGATTCCACAGGTAGGCTGAGCATGTGGGCTATTTAACTCACCTGACACACACACACACACATATATATATATATATATATATATATATATATATATATATGAGAGAAACCTTGCTGGATAACCTTTAGAATTTATTTCTCCTTTTTTCTGAGGGAAAAATAGTGATGGTGAGAGAGAAATATATTACTGACAACAAAGTGTCGGGATGGGGAAAAATATTGATTACATGAATCTTTATGATGTGGATGAGCTGCATGACCTATGCCAGGACTTGCAAATCCATGAAAACTTCCAGTGCTGCCTCTTGGGAAGTGCCCCAGAGGAAGAGTCTGTCCCTTCCTTCTTTTCTAACTAAGTCTTGAGCCCTCCTAGAAATAAGAGTTCGGGGCTTAATATGCAGACACATTCTAAGCAATTTCTGACATGTGGCTACTTTGCATATTTTTGCTACTAGTGGTGTTATTAGACAGCAACCACATGTGGGGTGGGGGGTGACCTCCATGATCATAATTAGCATGATAAACATGAAATAGTCGTATGTGTTTCAAATTATTCCTATATTAAAAAACTATTTTTTCTTCATGAAATTCTTATGTGTTACAGCTAGTCAACAGATATTTTGATTAACTACTATTTAGTATTATGTCTACTATTTAGCATTAAATCTGTCTACCATGGTGAAACTGACCTCTTTCTTTTTAGGTTGCTTACAGTATATTAGCTCTTGTTTTGAGTAATGAATCTCAACTCCCTTCCTTCTACCGGATTGTCCCCAATGAAGCCCATCAATACATTGGTATTGTCCATCTTCTTCTACATTTCCAGTGGACATGGGTGGGGATTGTTGCATCAGATAATGACAATGGTGAAAGGTTCATGCTGACTTTAACACCAATGCTTTTCCAGCATGGAATCTGTACTGCCTTCAATGAAAAAAACTCCAGCCATATCTCAAGTTATAGACAATTTTAGTTCATTAGTACTCATCCAGGCCAAATCCTTTTTCTGGACCGTCTCAAAAGTTAAAGTATTGGTTGTATGTGCAGAACCTCAGACCATGACAACACTGATATGGATGGCATTTTTATATTCATTCTTAGATGGTACTAGAGAGTTTTCTATACATAAAGTATGGATCATGACAGCCCAGTGGAATTTCTCATTGGAAACAATGCAAAGAGATTTTGATATACAAGCCTTCAATGGTGCCTTATCTTTTGCAGTTCACTCAAATAAAGTGCCAGGCTTTACACAATTCTTGCAGGTCCTTCATCCTAGCTATCCCAAAGGTGATGGTTTTCTTAGGATCTTCTGGCAAAAGGCATTCAACTGCCTATTTTCTGATTCCAATGAGCAGAAGCAAAGGATGGCTACTTGCACTGGTCAAGAGAAGCTGGACAGTCTCCCTGGTGCTCTTTTTGAAATGAGCATGACTGGCCAAAGTTACAGCCTTTATAATGCAGTCTATGCCATAGCACATTCTTTAGATAAAATTTACTTATCTAGGCTAAAGCACAGAGTGATGGCACATGGAAGTAGTTTGGATCCTCCAAATGTGGAACCTTGGCAGGTAAATTTCACACCCTGAATCTTGTCATGCCTAATGTAATATGTTATGATGCTCAGTTCATGGAGAATATCAGTAAAACAGAATAAAACTGTCTATAAAACTTTATCTCTTCCATACATTGCTTTGCCCCCTCACTGAAAGCACCTCAGAAGGCTACAAATGAAGATTTTCACATTCTACTTTCTATGCACTCAGAAATTAATTTGAGTTTCAAACAATCCCTGTAGTATGTGTACTTTCACATGAGGATTATCGGTTGAAAATAGGTTCCTAGTTTTACTCCACTGATCTAGTTGTGGTAAACAAAAATGAAGCTGAGTCAGAGCAAATACAAAACAAATTTGAAATGTTTATTAAATCAAAGTGCAGAAATTATGGAAATATATGAACTCAGCAATAAATATTAGAATAACAATAATATATTTATGAAATATGAAAAATATTACATTAGGTTGTCAAATAAGCCTAACAAACCAAAGCATGTTTATTACTAAGGTTTAAATTTCATTCTCCTTAAACTCTTATCTGTTTTTTTCCTCTCTCTCGTGCAAGGGGGGAAATGCACTTTTGTCATTCTGTTAAATCTACCTCTGTCTCTTCAAATCTAGCTTCACTCTGTGCTGAAGAGAATCTCATTTAACAATACTGCTGGTGATACTGTGTCCTTTGATAAAAATGGTGAATTAGCAGCTGGATTTGATATAATAAACTGGGTTACCTTCCCAAACCAATCCTTTGTCAAAGTGAAAGTAGGAAGGGTGGATGCACAGGCATCTCTTGGAGAAATGTTCACTGTGAAGGAGGAGGCCATCACATGGCACAGCACCTTTAATCAGGTGGGATTGAACTATATACTTATATGAGTGTGCAAAGCATAATTCCAATATAGATTCAGTCTTCAAGAATGTAAAGAAACTGAATTCCTATACATTTGCTGTCACTGAATTAAAAGAGTTTGAGATGTAAAGTCATGATCCAATACATATTTAGGAATAAGCTGCATTGAAACAAAAGGGACTTGTCAGGTTTCAGTTTGAGTTGCTCTTCTGATGGTTTATTCTTCCTTTCAAATATTCTGATGAGTCTCTTCGCTTCTTATCTCAATTCCACTAGCTTCAGATTAAGCTGCTTTTTTTTTAGGGGACCCAAAATAGATGAGCCTTCATGATAGCTGGTACTCTCCTCCTCTGCAGCTGTGACACAGCTGGAAATTCACTGTCCATCTCTCATTGGTTCGACACAAAGAGAAGATGATTTACAATTTATGCTGATTGTGTAATTGTGTATTATCAGTAATCGCAAAGATATAATCTACTGCTAACTTTGAAAGTCAATAAATATTTCAAACTTTATTGAGGATGTTTCCCTCCTGTAATAGTACATTTTATATATATATATATATATATATATATATATATATATATATATATATCCTTTTATTTCTTGGTGTTATAATTAAAAAGTAGAGAGCCCAGTTTGCTTTCTCTTTAGTCTTATTAAAGAGAAACTGAACATCCAAGCACATCATTCAATAGCACAGTCCAACCCCACGCAGTGTAGCTTTTCAATCTGCCCTTTTCCGCAAACAGTTCTATGGAGTGGATTGCCGCTTGCTCTGATTCAGCAGTAAAAAGCAGGGTTTGTGGGGAAATGCTCAAGGAAAAGAAAGAAAAAGGACACAGAACTGGAAAGCCAGGATCTGTGCCTAGAAATGTAGCGCACACGTAAGTGCGAATGAGCCCCTACTCAACAAACATAAATCAAGTCTGAAAAATGAAATACATGATCTATCATTTTTATGAACAGGTGAAGCCCCTTGCTCTGTGCAACAACCATTGCTATCCAGGCTACAGCAGAAAAAAGAAGGAGGGGTTGCCATTTTGTTGCTATGATTGCGCTCCATGTCCAGATGGGATGATTTCAAACCAAAAGGGTAGGAGACATCACATACAGTCTGATAAAATATTATCCAGTTATTTCATTCTGCCCCCTTTAACAGTTCATCTCTCCTACACAGAAGAGCAGTTAAGACAACTCATCAAGATACAACTCCTAACACACCACTCAAATGCTAATTCTGAGAGTTAGTGCATCATGTGGCTGCACCACCTTGATAAGGAGATCTTTGTTCTAGACTTTGTTATTTGCTGCCTGTTTTGAAAAGTAAAATCTCTGGAGATATTAGAAAAAGAAGGAGATAATTGGAGATTGCAGAGTTTTGAGAAACTAAAAGATAAAGTGCGAGATTGGTTACATTATCATCAAATTAGGGAGGTTTTTAATATGGACAAAAAAATAGGCTTCCGGGTGGAAAAGTCGAAATTAGAAACAGAATTGTTAGAACCTAAAACTAAGGTACTTTCAAGAATGTATAACTTGCTGTTAAAATGAACACGCAGGATGAAACGGTCAAATCAGCTATGATAAAGTGGGCGCAAGACATTGGCTATAATATTATGTTTGCTGACTGGGAACGGTTATGGACCACTGGTGTGAAATTCACGGCATGTAATGCCCTGAAAGAAAATATTATGAAAATGATATACAGGTGGTACATGACTCCAGTCAAGCTTGCAAAAATATATCACTTGTCAGATAATAAGTGTTGGAAATGTAAAGAAACTGAGGGAACATTCTTTCACCTTTGGTGGACGTGCCCAAGGGTTAAGGCTTTCTGGGAAATGATCTATAATGAACTGAAAAAGGTATTTAAATATACCTTCCCCAAGAAACCAGAGGCCTTTCTTTTGGGCATCGTTGGCCAAATGGTGCCAAAAAAGGACAGAACTTTCTTTATGTATGCAGCAACAGCAGCAAGAATACTCATCGCAAAACATTGGAAGACACAAGATTTGCCCACTCTGGAAGAATGGCAGATGCAATTGATAGACTATATGGAATTGGCAGAAATGACTGGCAGAATCCGAGACCTGGGAGAAGAGCTAGTGGAAGAGGACTGGAAGAAATTTAAAGACTACTTGCAAAAGTATTGCAAATTGTATGAATGTTAGAATGATGCAGGATATAAAGATAATATGGCATTAGTGATATAGTTGAAAGGAGTATGTAAAAAATGGTTTATAAGAATTAAGGTGAAGTTAAAATAATATTATGTCAAATTTAAATAAATTGATAATAAAGGGTAAAATTGGAGACATAATAGTTGAAATGTATAATATAAAATAAGATTTGAAAGAAGGTGAGGCATTGCTGAATATGATCGTGTAAAAGGGAACACAGAAAAGGGAGACGTGAGGGAGTCCAGAAGGAGGGTTATGAGAACAATAATTAAGAAACTGGTTTTTTATGTCTTTTTTATGTCTTTTTTTTCTTTTTCTTTTTTTATGGTGGGATTTTCACTGTGTTTTTCTGTTTTTTTTTTTTTTAATTGAACGTGAGGGTGCTTTTTGTTTTTTTCTACTCTGTTTTGAATGTGAAGTTTGTTTTATTCTTTAAAACTTTAATAAATATCTTTTTTTTAAAAAAAAGAAAGAAGTAAAATCTCTGGTAGAGTTCTCTCACCAGAGTGTTTCCCCAAAACTTGGGTCTTGGTTTCAGGATTCAACACTAAATGAAGAATTCACAAACAACTCCCACTTTTTCTGGAGTCAGGAGACACATGTGAATCAATCCTGTGGCCAATGGGTGATGTAGACAACCCATATTAGCCTTCAGTATTTTCATACCATTTGCCTGTTGCAATGGTGGGTTGGTTGGTTGATTCCCACTACATGGTTTATTTTATTAATGCTCATGGTATTTCATGTTTTCACTTTTTATGCAGGCAGTGACAATTTTCGGTGCATCCAGCTGATGTGTGATAACTGACACATGGGTCCTTTTGGACCCACAAAAGGGCAGACAGAGTGAGGCATGCTTATGAGCACTGCACCAACATGCACGGGTGACCGGAATGTAACCCCCGCACAAAATGGTCACTGCTTCTGTCATATTTATTACACATCATTCAGCAGCTCAAATATTTATGTTTCCACAAAGGCAGTATTTCAAAGAAGAATACTTTAAAAGGATATAGAAATTTGAGCTAGCCTGTGCAGCATCCTAATCTGATGAAGTGCCACAGTGCCAAGTGTCAAGGTGAATTAAGCAGATCCACAGGTCTGGCAGAACGGCAAAGAGGCCAGGGCACCCCACCCTGCCCAGTGAAATCCCTAACACTCAATAAAGTTACTAAGGCAAGCAAAGAAAATACAATTATGCAAACAGAAACCTAGGAGAGTTGTGGGAGCCTTCCTGTGTTTTGCAGTCTCTGCCATATGTATGACGATCTCCCCATTGGACTGAAGTCACACTAAAGTGCAATGAGCTCCACGCTCTCTGGGAACAAGTTTGTTCCCTTGATGTCAAGGTGGTGAACCTGGAAAAGGTAGGAGAGGCAGTGAATGTGGTGGCTGAGGACTTCAGGGATGTTGTAGCCATTGGACCAATCCAGTAGGCTCTAATTTGTGTGTCTACACACAATGCCATACAAGGGAGATAGATGCATCTACTTCATTTTCAAGAGTGAATAAGATCACAATAATTGATGGCCAAAAAATCAAGAATACATATATCTTTTTTTCCTCAGACACTGATGAATGTTTCAGGTGCCTAGAAGATCAATTTCCAAACAAGAACCAAGATCAATGTATTTCAAAGTTTCTAAATTTCCTCACTTTCTCAGAACCATTGGGGATCACTTTCATTTTCTTGGCACTCTCTTTCTCTCTGATCACGGCTTTGGTGCTAGGAATTTTCATCAAGCACAGGGACACTCCCATTGTCAAAGCCAACAATCGTGACCTCACCTATGCTCTGCTCATCTCCCTGTTTCTTTGCTTCCTCTGCTCCTTGCTATTCCTGGGAAAACCTCATGCAGTGACATGTTCTTTACGACAAACTGCTTTTGGAATAATTTACTCAGTGGCTGTTTCATGCATATTATCAAAAACCATAACTGTGGTCCTGGCTTTCATGGCTACTAAACCAGGATCCAGTATGAGGAAATGGGTGGGGAAAAGGCTGGCCAACTGTATTCTACTTAGTTGCTTCCTTATTCAAACTGGCATCTGTGTTCTATGGCTCTGCACTGCTCCTCCATTCCCAGATTTCAACATGAAATCTGTGGTGAAAGAAATCATAGTAGAATGCAATGAAGGATCAGTCACAATGTTTTATTGTGTTCTGGGTTACCTGTGGCTCCTGGCCATAGTTAGCTTCATTGTGGCTTTTCAGGCCAGGAAGCTGCCAGACAGTTTCAATGAAGCCAAGTTTATCACATTCAGCATGCTGGTCTTTTGCAGTATTTGGTTGTCCTTTGTGCCTTCTTACCTGAGCACCAAGGGGAAATACATGGTGGCTGTGGAGATCTTCTCCATCTTGGCCTCTGGTGCTGGGTTACTTGGCTGTATCTTTTCTCCAAAATGCTACATCATTATCCTTAGGCCAGAGTTAAACAGCAAGGACCTCTTAACTAGGAGACATTAGCAAGGTTATACTTAATGTTTCAAATTTGTTTAGTCAAAAGTCCTTTACACAAAGTCATTTATTATAATAACAGCAATACTTTGGAACACTGTTCTCCTTTGAAATCAGCCAGGGAACAACAAGTCTGATATTATACTGTCAGCTCAAAATGTTTATCTAATCTAGCAATTTTAGTTGAATAATTTGATCAATCTTCTTTTGTATTTTATTAATTCATGATGAATTATGAATTTATGATGAATTATGAGAAGACTCCCTGGAAAAGACCCTGATGTTGGGAAAGATGGAGGGCACAAGGAGAAGGGGACAACAGAGGGCGAGATGGTTGGATAGTGTTCTCGAAGCTACCAGCATGAGTTTGACCAAACTGCAGGAGGCAGTGGAAGTCAGGAGTGCCTGGCGTGCTCTGGTCTATGGGGTCACAAAGAGTCGGACACGACTAAACAACAACAACAATTTATGATGGCTCAATAGTTTTATTGTACACCACCATGATATTTTTCAATGAGCTGATAGATTAGAAATACTAATATAAATAATTTCGTACATAAACTTATTTCTGAGGAAACATCCGGAAAGGTGCAGCTCCTTTTGGTATGTAAATACCACAGCCATCAAGGCTACACCAGTCATGTACATTAAGCTGGTGTAAAGAGACGTCACATCCAAGCCCCGTCTTCATTTGGGTTGTTGCCGCTGCTCTGCTTAAACATGATAGAGGGAACACAATCCTTTAACTTAGGATCTGGCCTAATTCTCTCTTTTTGGTTCAACACTCCCTATGTTCCAAGAACAGCCTTATTGGGACTTACACTGACTTAGGCTGAACTGGCTGAGCTGGGGTGAACAAGCCATGAGCTGGATTGAACAAGTCATGTATTTTCAGCTGAACCAGGGTTGGGGACTTCATACTGGCTGAGCCCAGCTGAACTGGGAATCAGCTAGCTGAGACAGATATGTTCTGTATATTGCTCATCCCTGCATATTTTGTCATAGCATTTCCCCTGTTAGGGGCTGATGCAGACCTATCCCACACCACCTCTCCTGGTAGAACGAATGTGCACACAGTAATATATAGCAGAAGTATGATGTGTTTTATTCTTGCTTTGAGTTCTGTATCTTAATGCTTTAATTCCCCTCCCCTTTATAATCCACAATGGGGAGAAGTTTCAGGATAGTGCTAAATAAACATAACCTCCACAACACTAAAACAGCACTGAAATGTCACTGAGCACAATGGATGATTTTCCCCTTTCTTTTAATTTACAAAGCAATATATTTGTGCACAGCTGAGGAATACCATATATTCAGAAACATCTACCTTGTTTTATTTCCAGACTCATAAGTATAACACAAATTTCTGAAATAAGGAACAATTAGTTGGAATGGACTTCAAACACAATCTATTCCAAGCCTGCCACTGCAGAAAACCCTCTCCAGTAGAATTAATGATCAGTGGACCATTCAGTCTATTTTATTTTATTTTTTTATTTAATATTTTTTATTTAGCTTTTAAAAAGTGCTACTGAGTTACAATGAGATCTAAAGATTTTTTTTTCCTTTCTGGCATCTGGAGAGATGATTTGTAAACAGTAATTATCCCAGAATATTATGTTTAATTCCATCTAGTCATATTCCACAGGGATTTACACTAGATATAAGCACAATAAAGAGAAACTTAAATAAAATCAATCTGCACATGATCAGAACTAGAAAGAAGGTTTTTCGACAGGAGGAGCTACCCTAATTTGATTTTGGCAGTTTCTCCTTGTCAAAGTATTCTGGAGCCATGGACATAACCTAGTTGATGGTGGATGGCAGACTAAGAACAGAACTCTAGGTCAGAAACTGCTGCAGATATAGCAGGAATGTTTTTGCGGTTGCTCTTCATCCTTATGTGGCTTCAGGTGCCTTCAACAGATGGAAGGAAAGACACTCTTTTGTGTGACATGACTGATCTGTTCCAGCTCCCTTACGAGTATTATCAGGAAGGTGACCTGATCATAGGAGAGATGACATCTCAGCTTGGCATTGCATTTGATGAATTAACTTTCCAGGAAAACCCTAACACCAAGTTTGAATATGATCTTCTGTAAGCATTTTCCCTCTCCATAATTTGCACAGGTCATATTCAAAACAAAGATGCAAGTAAGAGAGATGTTTTCCATTGGCAAAACAGGATACATTTGTCAGACAGGACCCATATTTTAGTTACCAGTGGTGATTATGTACCTGAACTTCAGCATCACCAAAATGAGGGTGGGGTGGGATCGATTAAAAGTACAGATATAGATAAAGATATATTTGATTAGCAATAAATATTGCAGGAAGAAGTGCCCCTTTTCAAGATTCCAGAAAACTTCATTAAATATTGGCTTCCACACTTCCTCCTCCCCTTCTCCAATTGTCACTCAATATCCCATGGCCATAACATATTTGGGTTCACTCATCCCCCAGGTATTTCATTCACTCTCTCTTTCTACCATATTTGAAGTTTTTCTGAACCTGATTAAGCCTTTTTCTAGAGTGCTGGCAGTGTCACTTTGGTCCCATTGCTTTCAAAGGGAGGAAAGTGAATCCTATCCACAACTCTCCACTTTTATGTCATAGAACATGAATTGTCTGAGCTTGAGGTCATGCTTATGCATTTTATTTTAAAATTGGCAGAAGACCCTATTGGGCCCTATTTTGTATATTGCTTATTTTCTGGTGTGTGCTGATATAGGTTGAGGTTAAGCATTCATAAACATCCATGATTATAGGGCAGTAAGATGTTCACTAGTATAGGAACTGCTGAACTCTATATGCACTCAGCTCAGACACAGATGGCAAAGCACAGCTCATAAAGTCACAAAATAGCAGACACAATATTCATGGGAACATCACCAAAGACCACCAGTCTGGAGCCATGGCAATAGTGATGGCCACATAACACATGGACCTTGAGCAAACTAATAAACCCAATCCACCCAGCCACCAACAAATATCTTCCTGCATCAGAATATATACCATGACACCATAATACACCATGCCGGGAGCTCTAGAAGTACAGGCATCAACAAATCTGCTCATTCCCTCAAGCTAGAAATTTGCAAATGCTTGTGAATTTCTTTCAACGCTCTGTGTTGAAATATAGCATACAAAAGGAAGGACTAAGAAACCAAATAGCACAGAAGGTGTATCATTCTCTTAGTAAGTGACCTGCAGAGAGGACACACAGACATCTTCAGGGTAAGGGTTCAAAACTCATCAAGTGAGGGGCAGGCTCTCTTGCCAAGCAGTATAAGATAGGGGCCAAGGCATACAACAACGAGAGCTGCAGTCACACCATGAAAACAGCTGCCACCAGTGACTTGGTGCACGGCGCTTGAGGTTAGGTAGCCACAGGAGCATACAGGAAACAGTAACCATGGGGCATTTATTGATCCCCAGTATAAAGACCTAGTCACCTTAGATGTAAAGAGTCCAAGGGCTGAAGGAGAAGGTCTAACGAAGTGGGGCACATGGAGGAGTTTTCAGACTTGACTCCATAGTATACTCTCACAACATAAAAGGTATGAAGGTGTTCACATACTCACCCTGAAAATCACTCACACTCTAATTGTGTGAATCAACAGTCCAGCTCATCTATGATCTAGTTACCATTTGTAGCCCAATGCAAGATGGGTTTTCCTTCCAGCAAACACTTTTAGAAGTATGGTTCCACACACACACACACAGAGAGAGAGAGAGAGAGAGAGAGAGAGAGAGAGAGAGAGAGAGGGAGGGAGGGAGGGAGGGAGGGAGGGAGGGAGAAACAACAGATCATTTTTGAAAAGTTTGTTTCAATCTTGAGAAATTCAATGGCTGGTGTAAAAGTATGTTGTTGATGGAAGTATTGTCTGATGGATCATAGGGGTCCATTTCATCCCGTTTTGGTCTCTGTACCAGCACTTTCACTGGTGCAGCATGTGTGCTGGTGGCATGTTACTGATGCAAAAGACATATCTATTGCATCAGTAGTGTATCTGGTATTGCTACACCATAGTCCTTACACAAAGGATTTTTATTGTCTGCCATGTTTTTCATTAATTTGAAAATATAAACAATTCAAAACTATGTGCAGGCATGGTAATACAAAAAATGATCTGAGGGTTGTTGTTTTTTGTTTTCTCGAATCTGAAAAATGATGTGCCTCTTCTTTAGTGCAATGCCGAAGAACTACCAACAAGTTTTGTCCTTCGTATTTGCAGTGAAGGAAATCAATGAGAACCCTAAGATCCTACCGAATATGAGCTTTGGGTTCCACATCTATGATAGCTTCTTAAATGCAAGGATGACTTATCAGAACACTCTGAAACTACTCTCCATCACCAAAAGAATTGTCCCCAACTTCAAATGCAACAAGAAAAAGAAACTGATAGCTGTTGTTGGAGGATTTGATTCTGACATCTCCGTTAACATGGCTATTCTCTTAGGCACCTACAAGATTCCACAGGTAGAGTGAATGTATGAGCCATGCATCTTTTTCCAGCTCTAATACAGTAATTACTGTTCTGCTAAATAATGAGGATTTTTATTCTCTTTTGCTCTGTTTTCTACATAAAAAAAAGAAAGTGAGCATGAGAGACAAAAAGTATAACTGACACCAAAGAATTGGGCCTTGCTTATTTTTAACAAAACATATAAGGTGGGGAAAACAGTTTTAATTCTTTTTTTATTATGTGCATGTGGGGAGGGTCAGAAATACATTCTAAAACAGCTCTACCTCTCCCCCGCAAACATTTGTTCTTTTTAATTCTGTACAATAATTATGCTGGAGAGATGTTTTTCATCAGGATGATTCAATTTTATCTTAAGTAGGACTTAATTATTTGCAGATAAAATAGCAGTTTTTATTTTATTTTCATTTAATTGCATAAATATCAGGAGAAGCAGATGACAAAAACTGGAAGCAGAATAAATATAAGCTAAAGATAAACAAAAACATCTCTGAAATTCATTGTCCAAATGCTGTAAGC